GTGGTGGCGTGCACCTGTAGTCCCAGCTACTCGGGAGGCCGAGGCAGGAGAATTGCTTGAACCAGGGAGGCGGAGATTGCAGTGAGCCAAGGCTGCGGCACTGCACTCCAGCCTGGCAGCAGAGTGAGACTCCATCTCAGAAAAAAAAAAAAAAAAGAAAAAAAGATACAAGAATACTGTTGGCTGGGTGCTCACAATTGTAATCCCTGCACTTTGGGAGGCCAAGGTGGGTGGATCACCTGAGGTCAGGAGTTGGAGACCAGCCTGGCCAAGATGATGAAACCCCGTCTCTACTAAAAATACAAAAAATTAGCTGGGCATGGTGGTGTGCGCCTGTAATCCCAGCTACTCAAGAGGCTGAGGCAGGAGAATCATTTGAACCCAGGAGGCAAAGGTGGCAGTGAGCCAAGACCACGGCACTGCACTCCAGCCTGGGCAACGAGCAAGACTCTGTCTCAAAAAAGAAAAGAATACTGTCACACAATGCTTTTAGAAAGTCCTTCTAGCAAAATGTGATGGTCCAGAATCTCTTACTATCTTCTTCTTATTGCAAAATACTGTGTGATGAAGTCCTTCCTGTTGAATGACTCACAAGATAAGAATGCCGTTTTCCATTTTGAAATTAGAAATACATTTTTCATCATTGATTCTTGAGTTTAAGAAAATTCATCTAGGATGTTATCATTTGAAACTCATTCTAGAAGCTCTGTTACACTTTCAGTTTCATCATTCTCATTGGAGAGTGTAGCTGTCTTTCTGTGTCATCTTCTGAATTGACTGATAATAGTCGTCCTCTGCAAATTTTCCTCTCTGCCAATATGGGCAGCAAATGAAAAATTCGGAATTCTCAACCATGTTCAATGAAAGCTAAACAAAGGTGTTAGTGATCTTATTTTTGGTATAAAAGAAAGTAGCTTCATGCCTGTAATCCCAGCATTTTGGGAGGCTGAAGCAGGTGGATCTCTTGAGCCCAGGAGTTTGAGACCAGCCTGGGCAACGTGACGAAAACTCGCCTCTACAAAAAATACAAAAATTGGCCATGCGCGGTGGCTCATGCCTGTAATTCCAGCACTTTGGGAGGCCAAGGTGGGTGGATCACCTGAGGTCAGGAATTTGAGACCAGCCTGACCAACATGGCAAAACCCCATCTCCACTGAAAATACAAAAAATTAGCCGGGCATGGTGGTGGATGCCTGTAACCCTAGTAACTACTTAGGAAACTGAGGCAGGAGAATTGATTGAACCCGAGAGGTGGAGGTTGCCATGAGCCGATTTTGCACCACTGCACTCCAGCCTGGGTGACAAGAGCAAAACTCTATCTCAGAAAAATAAAAAAAAAAAAAAGTTAGCCAGGCATGGTGGCACACACCTGTGTCCTGGCTATACCAGAGGTTGAGGTGGGAGATTGCTTGAGCCCAGGAGTTCGAGGCTGCAATGAGCTGTGATGGTGCCACTGCAGTCCAGCCTGGGAGCCAGAGTCAGACTCTGTCTCCATAACAAAAAATTAAAAATGAAATTTAAAACTTCTCAGAAAAGCCTGGGGCGGTGACTGATGCTTGTAATCCCAGCACCTTGGGAGGCTGAGGTGGGCGGATCATCTGAGGTCAGGAGTTTGAGACCAGCCTGGTCAACATGGTGAAACCCCGTCTCTACTAAAAATATACAAAAATTATCCAGGTGTGGTGGTACATGCCTGTAATCCCAGCTACTTAGGAGGCTAAGACAGGAGAATCGCTTGAACCTGGGAGGCGGCGGTTGCAATGAACCGAGATTGTGCCACTGCACTCAGGCCTGGGCAACAGAGTGAGACTCCATTTCGAAAAACAAAACAAAACAAAAAAAAAACTGCTCAGGAAAGAAATGGGAACACTAGAATTGTGTACAGTACACCTGGATGTGCCAACAGGTAATCCTTGCAGTAGCTCAGTGGAATAGCTGTTACTGTTATCCTTCTGTTAGAAATTAAGCTCAGGGCTGGGCCTGTGGCTCACGCCTGTAATCCCAGCACTTTGGGAAGCCAAGGCGGGCAGATCACCTGCGGTCAGGAGTTTGAGACCAGCCTGGCCAACGTGGTGAAACCCCATCATCTCTACTAAAAATACAAAAAAAATTAGCTGGGTGTGGTGGCAGGCGCCTGTAGTCCAGCTCCTTGGGAGTCTGAGGCAGGAGAATCACTTGAGTCTAGGAGATGGAGGTTGCAGTGAGTGGAGATTGTGCCACCGCACTCCCGCCTGGGCGACAGAGCAAGACTCTGTCTCAAAAAAAAAAAAAATTAAGCTGAGGCCTCGAGAGGTTTAGTTGATTTGTCCCACGTCACAAAGCTATGGAATAACAGAGCTGGGATTTGAACCCAAGCAGCCTGACTGAATCCATCCTCCTCCCATCTTCTGAGCCATCTCGTCTTTGCTTTTTTTTTTTTTTTAAATAGGGTCTCACTCTTGCCCAGGCTGGAGTGCAGTCATGTGACTGCAACCTCTACCTCCCAGGTTCAAGCGATTCTTCTGCCTTAGCCTCCCGAGTAGCTGGGATCACAGGCATGTGCCACCACGCCTGTCCACATCTTGTCTTTGCTTCAGCACCAACTTCTCCTAGGCACAGACTGCTCCCTCCTCGAGTCACTTGGGTTCTGTCCACTTTCAGGGTTTCTCTCCATCCGGCTCTTGTCCTTTGTTTCCAGCTGCTTCTC